AATGCTTATGTTTAATCTTCCCAAACAAAATTCATAATAAACTAATAGCAAAGGTCAAATTCATACCACCATGTGATTAAGATGTCAACTAATTTTACAATTTTACAAAACTAAATTACTCATTCTAAACACACAAGATAAATTAAATTTATAAGTAAGTTCTAAGAATTAAAATATGAAAACTCTAATTAACAAAATAGCAAATCACTCTAATTAAAAGAATGTACAAGTAAATTCCTAATTTATATTACCTAGTATTTTTTGAAAATAATATTGTATATAATTACCTAGTTAAAAGAAAATTTTAAAAGGGAGATAGTTAGAAAATTACCAACCTCAAAAAACAAAGTTGTTATTGAACATGAACGGAAAATCGAATAAGGGATTAGGAGGCGGAGAGACGGACAAGACTTTTCCTTATTCAGTCGACTGTGGCAAAAGGGCGCATTTTTAATCGCATCTTATTATTCACTCTGCTACTCCATAGACCATAATTCCTATTGATTATTGAGTTTATTGACTATTGAGTATGTGGTATGAATAAAATTTTAAATAAAAATTTAAAAAATTAAAATAAAAAAGGAATAAGGACTGACCATATTGAAGGATTTGAAGCCTTCTAGTTTGGACTTGAATCATTCGTTAGTGAGTGTCTAATGTCTAATACATTAATGGGGTCCCCCATTATTTTCATTTGGGGCACACTTTAGTTTATAATATAAATGAAGTATACATATCTATACATAGTATTTAAAAAACTAGGAAGTCATTGGGGGCATGTGCCCCCGGCCCATTAACCACAACATACGTCCGCCCCTGCATACAACATGCATATTCTAGTATTGGAGATATCTCTTACTCCCCCCGGTTGTAAATAAACTTCACAGTTTCCTTTTTGGGTAGGTCCAAAATAAACTTCACACTTTTCTTTTTGGGTAGGTCCAAAATAAACTTCACACTTCCCTTATTTCCTTATTTGACAAAGAAATCTACATCAAAACAGTGTTAAACATTGTCAAACTGTGTCACAACAGTGTACTCTACAGCAAAGTCAAATTTATTTCCTTAATTTGTGTGGAATCAAAGTGTGAAGTTTAAAAAGAATCGGAGGGAGTATATTTTAGTCATAATTTATGGGGAAATAGACTAAGATAATGAAACAACCATTTAAGATAATGACACAACCATTTCAAATTGGAAGGGCTGAATGCTATTGAAGTTCTGTTTGCAACTACTTGTGTTTAAATAAAAGTACTTTTTGGGAAAAGTGATTAGTAGTAAAAGTTGGTAATGTTTGGTAAAATAAGTGATTTTTGTGTAATAGAAAAAGTAAAAAGTAGATTCTACACGAAAAACTAGACCTGAACAAAACCGGGCCGGCCTGCCCAGCCCGTCCGCACAAATAGGCGGGCTTGGGCATATATATTTACCCACCGGGCCCGGCTCAGCCCGCAATAACATATGGGCGGGCTTGCGTTAGGGTGTAGGCCCGTTTAGGCCAATAAGCCCGGCCCGCTACATTTAGTATATGCTCCCTCCGTCCCTTAAAGGTTTGCCATGTTTGACCGGCACGTAAAATAATAAAGTAAAAGCTGTGTGGTAGATATTTGTGTAGAGGAGAGAGAATTAACATGAACCACAAATTGATAGATTAAAGTGGAAAGTGGCAAAGTTTTTGGAACAACCAAAAAAGGAAAGGTGTCAAAGTTATAAGGCACGGAGGTAGTATACATTTTTTAATATATATACTGCTACGGGTAATTTATTTATTTATTTACATGTACACATGTATATTTATATTTATTAATTTATCTTTATACATATTTATAGTTAATTATATTTAAATTTAACATAGTCAACATATGCTCAACACCACTGGACCAACTCATTTTCTTAAGTTTTTAGTTCTTAACAACTAGCCCAGCCAAGATAATATCTACTTTTGTACTTAAAGATGATACTTTGTGCTTGAATTTTTAAATTTTAGCTATAGTTTCTCATTATATTTTTTGTGCAAGTATCTTTATACTTTTTAATTATGTTTAAATTTAAGTTTTTAGTTTTTAACTAGTCCAACCAATATAATATACGTAGTATGTAGTATATTTTAGTACTTAAAGATAATACTTTGTGCTTCAATTTTAAATTTAAGATATATTTTCTCATTATATTTTTTGTGCATGTAGTGACAGACTTAAAAACATTATAAGCGTATTAGCAATTTTTTAAATGTTGTAATACTATTTATAAAGTATTAAAAAAATTATATAATTTTTAAAAAATCAAAGTTTTTCCGGGCCGGGCGGCCCGGTGGACTACCCGGCCCGCTCTAACGGACGGGTATGGACATGAGGTTAAGCCTGTTTTTGCGGGCCGGACCGGGCCGGCCCACACATGATGGGCGGAAAATTTATAAAAAGCCCGGCCTGAGCCTGTTTTTGTACAGGTCTAATGAAAACCGAAAAAATAAAAGTTGATACTATTTGATAAAATAAGTGTTTTTTTCTTAAAAGAAAGCAGGATAACTTATTTTAAGTGATTGCAAAGAGAGCTCTCTACTGGCTCATAATAATCTCATCAACCAGACAACGATCACGGCTAATCTTTATATATATTATAATAAAAAGGGGGTCGTATGGCATATAAGTGAGATAACCGTTCCCGCCTGTAATAGTGTCAGCCACATCATTGCATAAAATGTGCCTACAATATAGGGTCCAATCACGTATCACATGCTTAAAATCTTAAATACAGTTTCTATGACAGGTGGCCGACTGGAATTAACAAAACAGTTCCATTGAGAGTTCTGGAAATCACATTTCCACGTTCTAGCCCACTCAATGTTAGATAATCGCTTCCTGAGGTGGTATAAATAACAGCAACTTCAGAATCTAATGATACATGCATGCCCGATCATAAGTCGTACGTAGTAACTGTGAAAGTGATTTCTATCCAAATTCTATTTCTATCGATTTTACTCATTCGCTTCTACAATTTATTAATTGGGGTTCTAATAAAAAGGAATTGTTTTGTTTCTAGTCTTCCAGAGTTTCCACTACAACAGGAACATGTTCTTCAACGAAATCTTTGAGCTCAGCCTCATTCAAGAAAAGCAGAGGACTGAGAACGAGGCTTATCCGTTCTTATGATTTGCTAGCGTTCAACAAGAATTATACAAACTATTTGGAATGATTATGAGGTACACTTTACTGCTTTTTCGGATTATAGTAGAACGATTGTTGTTTTGCATCTATCACACATAATGTTCAATTTACCATAATTAACGTTTTAGGATATGGAAAGTATTTGTGATCTAACTATGGCCTATGGGAAATGAAAAAGATAAACAATGGAAGCTGAGCAGATGCTACAGATTGATCTTACTTCAGTAGTTCAGTCATGCCCACGATAAGGATGGCCTACTGGAGCCAAAGAGACTTTTACGGATGATGAAATTCCAAAAGTAACCCTTTAGGAATTTTCCCCTACTTGTGTCTATAACTAAGCTATTCTTATGGAGTAGAAATTAGAATATATAATTAAAAATATTAATATATAAAAAAATATGCAGATTGAGTTGAAACATTAGAAGTTGAGCAAGTTCGTTTTAAGGAAATCTTCTACCCGACACTATTTAATGTGAAAGGTAAGAGATATGAAATAACTACAGAGTATATAAATTAAGGCGAGGATGATCATACCTGGGTTAAATTAAGGGGTAAGACTGCGTACATCCGACCCCCCTTACCCCACCGTAGGTGGGAGCCTTTGCGGCATTAGGGTAAATGAAAATGAAATGAAATGATGATCATACCTGGGGTTTTAGCTCTGAAAACATAGGACCCTGCATTCCCTATTCTCAACCCTATAACCCTATTCTAAATTAACTAAGGATTACATTTCACTTATGAATATTACCCAATCGGGCACTTTAATTATTGAGGTGCCCGAACCTATGAATTTTACATATAATAATTACAAAGTATAAACAATTTTGGTTAATCAGACCTGCAATGTAAAAAGAAATACCAAGTTAAAGTATATCTCACAATACAATCATTTTTGCTGGGGCCTGGGAATAAGATTATTGGAAACAACTGGCAGAATGATCGAGATGAAGGTACACTCGAAAATGCATTTTTTTTACTCAATTTGATTTTTTTTGAAATATTACTTAATTTTCAAACAAGTGACCTACAAAATGATCAAAACAAATTATCTGCAAAATTAGTGACATTTCAGCAAAAAATACTGCGGAGAACTATTTGTTTTTTGTTGTCATAAACTACTACGGAGTACTATTTGTTAGGATAGTAGGTTAGAATACTTTTTAGCTTTCAACGCAAAAAAATAATCTTACAGCAGTATCTAATGAGTTATGATTAGTTATTCTTGAAAAAATCATATATTTTGTTGCGATCAATTGCTACCAAGTGTGAATGATTAAAAGATAAGCAATAATGATGGTATCTCAAATAATTCCACAATAAATTTTATATAACTGGAAGTTTTTAAAAAATTGCAATTTGCTCTATAATATACTCCCTCTCCCAAAAAATAATTCTCATTTTGACTTGGCAAGATTATTAAGAAATTGAGAATGAAGTGGAAATGTACAATTGTAGTTAAGTAAAAGAAGTACATTTATTTGCTTTATGTATGCACTTACTACACACTTTTAAATGTTTCTTTCCATTTTATCATACAAGTATTTCAATGTTCTTATAATAAATGTGGTTTACATTCTTACATTAATATTACACATATACGAACAATAATTACTACAAAATAGTGTCATGGTAACTTACGTTTAAAAACTGAACACAAGTTACTATGATTTCATTACTACTTTAGTCACTAATAGAATCATATTTTTGTAGACATTATTTTAAATAATTTTTTTTTACATTAAGCCATAAATAAAAATAAAGTTTTGCACGGGTACGATGCTAGTTAAAGGAAAGAACCGACCACTACACTGGGTTCACAAAAAAGAAGCCACCTGACCTGATAGCGGATATATGGAGATAAATCATTGTCATTTCTCTCGCGTTCCTTCCATTGCCGGCGCTCTTCACACGGTTAATTGCAGAACTCGCATATCTCACTGCAGCATTACTTATCGGAAGTTGTTCTGGCTGAAATCCCGAACCCTCCTTCTGAAATCATCGTCTTCCCTCTATGATCAACCTTCGGTTGTTCACGACAGTCTCCGAGTCCTAGAGTGGGACAAGGTCTGCGATGCCGTCGCCTCCTTTGCTGGTACTTCACTTGGCAAGGAAGCCACCAAGGTTTTATATATAAATGCATAAGAACAGTATTTACCCCTCTCCCTGTGATTTGAAATTTCGTGAAACTAATCGAAGTTTCTTCTTCTACCTAGGAAAAGCTGTGGAATTTGAGACAAACGTTCGATGAAAGTGTCACACTGTTACAGGAAACTAGCGCTGCTGTGGAAATGCATAAGTACGGTGCAATGAAGGAGTTTACTGGGATTGATATAGAACTGGTAGCTTCAGTTTCTAATGCATTACTTGTTGTCATTCTGCTTTCATTGAGCTAAAATATATCCAATTGAATATAAATCACAAAATTGAGCAATTTGAAATGCATTTTTTCTTTCCGGTGGTTCTAAGTGTAATGTGCAGCAAATATTGCTAAATGTGCTTAACACGTGCTAATTATTCTCCGGCTCATCGTTGATGAAGGTGAAACTTGCAATCCAATGTGCACATAGGGACTCTACGGTTAGTGGGAATGAAGCAGTTGCACTTGCATCTCTGTTACAGTTTGCTGAAGCTTTAAAGTCAAATGTTAAATCTGCAATCAAACAAGATTCAAAGTGGTACCAATGCTTCATGCCTCTTACTGAAATGGTAGTCTGCTATTTATTTACACTTTTACAGTGACCTTTTAATTGGACACTGACCACTTGCAGTTTTATGGATATCCAGTTAAGTTTTATTTATGCTCATAGGTTATGGAACTTGAGGCAAGCAGATCGTTGGTCAGCTTCATACAACAGCTAGTTGATGAAGATGGCTCTGTTAAGGATTCTGCGGTGTGTTCTTTTTATATCTTAACATTACACATTGTACTGTCTTCATGTCTTATGAGATCTTGTTGTGCTAGCAAGTTTTTTACTACATAGCCACCATACATCTTTGTAATTTCGTGGTTCTTTAGGTAACTACTATGGTGATATTTCTACAACTTCATGGCTTGTGTTAACTAATGCCTACAAATTCCTGTTTAGAGCTCCATTTTGAAACAATCACGTGATCAAGTTCATTTGCTGGAAAGGAAGGTACAATTCCATGTTTCTTCTCTTTCACTATCCATATTATGCTTTTGAATTGTTGATACATTAGCCTTATGGTAATTATTGAATCTCGCGCTTCACTTCCACATGAGCTTTTACTTGATTGATGGATCACATGATCTTATTGCATTCCTTAGCTACTGGCATTCATTGTTCCTGATGACTGAATTCATTTTGATGTGATGATTCTTCATTGTTGCGTTTAAATTTTAGGGAAATCTGTTCCAAGTTTCCTATTCTTCTAACCTACCTAATATATGTTTAATCATCTTCTCCATTCAGTTATACCAGTTGCTGGAGGCTTTGATTAGAAATGAAACAAAGGAAACAGCATCTTTGGTAAAGTTATTTTTTGCCTGCATAATATGTTAAATCTTAATTTCTCATACTGTGGAAACCCTAGTAGTATTGGGCTTAGCCCATTTGTATAGGAAACCCTAGTACTCTAAATATAGCTATAAATATAGCTTCTTGTATAGTACTTTATCATCAAGTATATGAAATATAATAATACTTGTTCACATGGTATCAGAGCCTATACGGCAAATATAGTTAGCTAGTTAGTGTTATAAACTGCCGCTCCGAATCCGGACAGAAATTCAGGCCATAATTTCCGGTGTGAATAGTGGTCGCAACTCACTTGAGTGCTTTTGGTAGTGATACAAGCCTACCATCGTGCTCAGCTCTACATAGCGACTTACCACCAGAAGTTTTGCCGCCGCTGCCTCACCCACACGCCGCCAGCCGCCGCTGAAAGTCCGCACCTGCAGGTACACATCTTTGCAGATCTGCTCCGTCTTAGTCATCTGCGAGCGACACCGACAGTTTTTTCAGAAACCTAGGTCCCTGACGACCTAGACCAGTCAGTCCGGTCCGCCGCCGCTTCCACACGCGCCGCTCGTATCGGTCCTCACCGTCTCTCTGGCCGCTCGCCGCTGCTCTGGCCGCTCGCCGCTGCTCTGGCCGGTGCTCTACCTATTTGACGGAATACCAGGCAGTTTCTTCCGCTACTTCACTGCTCTCTCGATTGCTCTCTGGTCTGCTCTCTTGGTCAACACAGTCCAGCAGTCCAGGGAAGGTCTTTGTCAACCCACTCCAGCTGGATTACTTTTGCTTTTCTATTATTGGCAAACCGCTGGAGTTCTACTGAAGTGTTGATCCCCTGGACAGGTTTAAATTTTTATCTCCCGATTGTTTGCTAATTTTAGCTTTTCATTCTTATTAAAAAAAACAAAAAAAAAACAAAAAAAAAAACAAAAAGAAAAAAAAAACAGTACAAAAAAAATGTCTTTTGTGAGTTCTGACAGAGGAAACAACACCGGATACTCAAGATGGAATCGTCCTAAATGTGATTTTTGCCATAAAATCGGTCATACTAAAGACAGGTGTTGGAAAGTACATGAGAGACCTCCTCCCTCAGCCCATGTTGCTCAGCTCCCACCATCTCCCATTATTCTATCACCAGAAGACTATGCAGCATATCAGCAATTTAAGGTGACTAATATGCCTTTATCCACACCTGATGTGTCTACTGCTTGTGTTTCAAACACAACAGGCTCATGGATCATTGACTCAGGTGCCTCAGATCATATTTCTGGTAATCCCCATCTTTTATCCAATATAACCAAGCAGCGACATCTTCCTTTGATTACTCTTGCTAATGGCCTTCAAACTTCGGCTTCGGGTATTGGGCAAGCACTTCCACTTTCATCCTTACCATTAGACTCCGTCTTATATGTCCCTAACACCCCTTTTAACCTTGTCTCTGTCAGTAAAATTACACGTGCTCTTAATTGTTCCGTAACATTTTCTGCTGATTCTGTAATTGTGCAGGACCGTTGTACGGGGAAAATGATTGGCGTCAGACATGAATCTCAAGGTCTGTATCACCTCCATCCTCTTGATCCAATCGCTTGTGTTTCAGTTGAACCTGCTCTTACCTTACACAATCGTCTGGGTCATCCTAGCCTCTCCAAGTTTCAACGTATGGTTCCAGGTTTCTCAAATCTTTCATCTTTAGATTGTGAGTCATGTCACCTTGGAAAACAACCTCGTAAATCCTTTCCAAAGCGAGTCAATAAACGGGCTACATCACCGTTTGATTTAGTTCATACAGATGTATGGGGTCCGTATCGAGTCACTTCTACTTTAGGTTTCCGTTACTTTGTTATTTTTGTGGATGATTTTTCCCGTTACACATGGTTGTTCTTAATGAAGGAGCGTTTTGAATTGTTTCATATTTTTCAAACTTTTTGTGCTGAAATTCAAACTCAGTTCGGTCATTCTATCAAAATTTTACGCAGTGACAATGCTAAAGAATTTTTTGGGGCATCCTTTAATCAATTCATGACATCAAGGGGTATGCTTCACCAATCATCTTGTGTTCACACGCCTCAACAAAATGGGGTTGCTGAACGCAAGAACCGACACTTGGTTGATACTGCCCGTACCTTATTATTACATTCTCATACACCGCCTCAGTATTGGGCAGATGCTGTGCTCACTGCGTGTCATTTAATTAATAGAATGCCTTCCTCAGTTCTTAATAATGAAATTCCCTATTCTATTTTGTTTCCTGCTCGTGATTTATTTCCATTACCACCCCATGTGTTTGGGTGTGTGTGTTTTGTCCATGATACGACACCTGGACTAGCTAAAATGTCGGCTAGGTCAATAAAATGTATCTTTCTTGGATATTCGCGACTCCAAAAAGGTTATCGCTGTTATTCTCCATTACTTAAGAAACATTTTATTTCAGCTGATGTCACTTTTATTGAGTCGTCCTTTTACTATCCATTATCTTCAGTTGATACCCCATCATGTTTGGACTTCACCTCATATCTCCGGCCCATCCATCCGGAGGCTCCCATTAACCCTCCATCTGATGAGCACCCAAACTTCCCTCCTATGTCAGACCGTCCATTACAGGTATACCATCGACGTCCTCGACCTCCTCCCATTGAGCCCGTCGTGGCCACGCCCATTGATTCCCCTATGACGGATCCTGCATCACCACCATCACCTACTCCAGCACTTGAAACCACTCAGGATGATTTGCCCATTGCCCTCCGAAAAGGTACGCGTTCCACATTGAATCCACATCCCATTTATAACTTTTTGAGTTATCACCGCCTCTCTACCCCTTACTATGCTTTCATTTCCCACCTCTCTCATATATGCATTCCTAAAACCACACATGAGGCATTGGCACACCCAGAGTGGCGTAAAGCCATGTTGGCTGAGATGGAGGCTCTTCATTCTAGTGGGACGTGGGACTTAGTCTCCCTTCCCACTGGAAAATCAGTGGTGGGATGTCGGTGGATTTACACAGTTAAAGTTGGGCCTGATGGGAAGATTGATCGTTTTAAAGCACGCCTTGTGGCAAAAGGGTATACTCAAATATATGGTTTGGATTACACTGACACTTTTTCTCCTGTAGCAAAGATTGCATCAGTTCGTTTGGTTTTATCCATGGCAGCAATGAGCCGCTGGACATTGTTCCAATTGGATATTAAAAACGCATTCCTTCACGGAGATCTGCACGAGGAAGTTTATATGGAGCAACCACCTGGATTTGTTGCTCAGGGGGAGTCTGGTATGGTGTGCAGATTACGTCGTTCATTATATGGCTTGAAGCAATCTCCACGTGCATGGTTTGGGAGGTTTAGTGACGTTGTCTGCAGCTTTGGCATGATTCGCAGTGATGTCGATCACTCTATATTCTACAGACATTCTGCTGGCAACAAATGTATTTATCTTGTTGTGTATGTTGATGACATTGTCATTACAGGTAGCGATGATCAAGGAATTGCGCTCCTCAAGCAACATCTCTTTAGCAAATTTCAATCAAAAGACTTAGGAAAGTTGAGATACTTCCTTGGCATTGAGGTTGCACAGTCTCAAGATGGAATTGCTCTCTCACAAAGAAAGTATGCCTTGGATATTCTTGAGAAAACAGGATTGCTAGATTGCAGGCCGGTGGATACACCAATGGATCCGAACGTTAAACTATTATCAGAACAGGGAGATCTTTTGCCCAACAAGGAAAAATATAGAAGACTCATCGGCAAATTGAATTATCTTACCATCACAAGACCAAATATTTCATTTGCGGTAAGTGTTCTTAGTCAGTTTCTTGATAAGCCATGTACTGGACACTAGGATGCAGCTATCCGAGTTTTGAGATACATCAAGAAAACTCCAGGGCAAGGGTTGTTGTTTGAAGATCGAGGCCACCATGATATTGTGGGATATTGTGATGCAGACTGGGCCGGATGTCCTATGGATAGACGTTCCACTTCGGGATATTGCATCTTGATTGGTGGAAACTTAATTTCATGGAAAAGTAAGAAACAAGATGTGGTTGCCAGATCTAGTGCTGAAGCAGAATATCGTGCAATGGCCCTAGCTACATGTGAAATCTTATGGTTGAAGCATCTTCTCCAAGAGTTAAAATATGGGAACACAAAACCGGTTCAACTCATGTGTGATAATCAAGCTGCAATGCACATCGCATCAAATCCGGTATATCATGAGAGGACAAAACACATTGAAGTTGATTGTCATTTTATCCGAGAGAAGATCACGAGTGGACATATCATCACAAAATATGTGAACACAACTGAACAACTTGCAGATATTTTAACTAAGTCTCTTAGAGGTCCTAGAGTGGAATATATTTGTAACAAGCTTGGTACATATGATCTATATGCTCCAGCTTGAGGGGGAGTGTGGAAACCCTAGTAGTATTGGGCTTAGCCCATTTGTATAGGAAACCCTAGTACTCTAAATATAGCTATAAATATAGCTTCTTGTATAGTATTTTATCATCAAGTATATGAAATATAATAATACTTGTTCACACATACTATATAGGACGTCTAAATTTAAACAAAAAAGAAACCCGGGCTTTAAGATTGGATGTTAAAGGTGAATTTATTGATATTAGCAATCAGATGGAGTGTTATATTTCAATTCGGGATAAGCGTCAGTTTGGTCCTCCAAGTTGCAAAAAAGGGGTCAAATAAGTCCTTATATAGAAAATTCTGTCCGGACGTGCCGTTTGAGGTGGCTCCCGGTGGAATTTTTTGATGAAATTTTTTGAGCATCTTATTCATTAAGTCTAGTTTACTCATACCAAATTTCAGATAAAAATTCAATCGGGAAGACATTCAAATGAATTCTTGAAGATAACTGTGCCGTTAAAAGCGCTGTTATCTTCAAGAATTCATTTAAATGTCTTCCCGATTGAATTTTTAGCTGAAATTTGGTATGAGTAAACTAGACTTAATGAATAAGATGCTCAAAAAAATTTATCACAAAATTCCACCGGGAGCCACCTCAAATTGCACGTCCGGACAGAATCTTCTATATAAGGACTTATTTGACGCCTTTTTTGCAACTTCGAGGACTAAACTGACCCTTTACTCATTTCAATTCTTATTGCCTTTTCCACAATAATTGGCTCAGGAAATGCGTACTGTTGATGGCAGATGGTGCATAACTTCTGGGTCTGATCAGCGAGTGGGCCTTGAAGGTCTTCTGTTGTTTAGGTACTTGAACTAGTTTTGCTATTTATTTGTTCCCATGTGAATAGTTTTTTTAACACTACTTTCTTTCCAATTATTCTTGTATGTGAAGCTGGACACAACAATTTAGAGAAATAATTTACCGTTTCATGAGGAACATAATACTATTACGTACGCAATAAAATGCCTTTAATTCTGAGATATGTAGTTTGATGTAGTGGTTCAGGTATGGGAAGCATTGTAGAACCTCTACCAGCTGTTGCATTAAATGACGAGTTGCAAAGAGCCAGGGCGTCTGTTACTAAGGCTGAGAATGATATACTCTTTAAGATAACAAAGAAGGTTCCCACCAGTCCACCACCTTGCATTGTCACATGTGCATTTTCTTTCTTCTTATTTTCAATGGTTTTCTGACCATGACATTTCTGTTTAACTTGTCATGGACTGCAGATGCAAGAGGGTCTTCAGTGCATTGAAAATACATTCAGTATCATAGTCAGACTAGATACTGTACGCATCCTGTATAAAGCTCCCAAGTTTTGCATTGATTTACTTGGTCAATCTGATGACCTGTCGCTGTCTTTTTCATATAGCACATTTTATCTTGTTTGCATTGTTGCAGCTGTTAGATATTGACTCCACTGACATTCAAATATTCAATGTGACTACATACACACAGATCAATGCTCGAGCACAGTATAGCCTTTCATATGGAGGCACATATCCTGAATTGTATTTTCCACATGACAAGGGCAAGTCTGTTGCTGCTGATGTAATGTTGGAGGACAGAACCTCCATAACATCACATCCGTCTCTGGAAGAATGGACTTTGTATCTACCGAAGTCATATCATCCTTTACTGCTGCAGAAGCACCGGGAAAGCCTTAACAATGCGATGAAGCATGCCCGGAATGCCACTTCAGTAAGTGGTTTCTTTCATAAGTTGTTACACTGGGGTGCATTTTTGGGAAAGGATAACATTGTCTTATTTATGAAAGCTGAATACTTTCATTGATTTTAAGTTTTAACTGAATCTACTGTGGAGTTCTTGGGTTATCACTTTGAAGAAAATACACTGTTTGAAGTTTCTATGTTATAAAACCAACCCACTGGTATTGCTCCACAAATGTTGCTAACACCTCATGGGTTCTTTTCATTTGTGTCAATCAACTTTATTTTCATTTTTTATTAGCTACGGCTGACCTAGCTGTTGCTTTCTAAATTTGTGGCTTTATAATTTTCAGTTATGTTAAATTTAATACCCCCTTCCATAAATTCCTCCCAACTTTCTTCCCATTTCCTTTTAAGGAATGGTTTATGTGGTTGGCATTGTTACTTTTTTTTCTACCCCAGCCACAACCATACGTTTATACTTTATTAATAAGTGTGCCAATTCATAGTGGGAAGAAAATTATGGGATAGAGGTAGTAATAATTACAGTAGTATTTGTTTTCTTGCCCAAGTTAATTATCAGTTATATTCATCCAACATTGCATTGAGATGTCATTTATTGGAAATGCTATTTTTTTAACAAGAAGAATCTCCAAGAATCTAGTGACCTATCTATTCTTAGGAAATCAGGAGGAAACAGCAAAGAGAAGGATTTACTCGTGAAAAATCAAATTTGGACATATTTTCCTTGGAGATGGAGGTGGGTGTTTAGCATGAGGTGTTAGTTGTATATTGAATGCATACGTTTCTGAGAGAGATGAGCACTGTATGATGCTTCTCTGTTTATTCAGGTTGCTGAAATTAAAAATACTCCTCCTGTTCCTGTTGACATATTCATTGCCAGAAATACTAAAGTTCTGGTCATTACGGGCCCAAATACTGGAGGAAAAACCATTAGCTTGAAGACAGTTGGGTTGGCTGCTATGATGGCAAAGTCGGGTATGAGAAAGTTTTGGTTTTTGTTTCCTATTTTTATTAAAGTACAAAAGGGAAAATCCAAAAAGGCTGGATGATAAACTTTATTTTTCTTGCTTAATCGTAATTAAGAATTAAAATACTAGCAGTACACGTTGATAGAACAAATCAAAGTCCTCAATCAAAATGGTGTAAACATGTACTTGCAAATAAAATGAATAACAAAATGTGTTGTAATTTATCGTAGGTGATAGATTCTGATATAGGAATTAGGAAAAGTATGTAAGTGTTTCAAAGGTGGGGATCTTTATCAGCTATGTATACTTGCAAAGTGCATAGTTGCATAGTTTCATGTACCTAAGTCTATCCAAGCTAGATGATTCTATTTGACATGGTATATGTTATAACACAGAAACATGCATACAAATAATGATTATTTTTAGTTACTTGTTCATCTGTTCTGGGCTAGGGGTAGATTCTGGAACTTAGATACACATTTATGAACAATGATTAGTTTTAGTTCTCCATCTAGTTGTTCTGGGTTAGAGTAAGAGTAACTCTTGAGATCTTACATATATACCGATGCTTTTATTTTGGAATAGTGTCAGATGAGATACAATTTAAATCTATAAATGCTAGATGTTTCTGCCTTTCATATGTACATATTAGACCTTTAAATACTTGAATTATATAATTATGTTGCAGGCCTTTATGTTTTAGCTTCTGAACCAGTGAAGATCCCTTGGTTTGACTGTGTGTTAGCTGATATTGGTGATGAGCAGTCCTTATCTCAGTCTTTGTCTACCTTTTCAGGCCACCTAAAACAGATTACTGTAAGTTTTATAAATGGTCTTGAGTTAAAATGTCTAGCTTTTAGCATCTGCAGCATGTCTTTCTGCAATATCAACATTTAATCTGTTTTATTCATACTTTCCTTCTATAAATTGCAGAATATTCAGTCTTGTTCAACAAGTATGTCCCTCGTGCTACTAGACGAAGTATGCGCTAGCAGTTCATATACATTCACTGGATTATTTTTGAGAAAGTTGATCTTTGTACCCTATGTTTTATACTAATATACGAAGTATGACTTTACATCACAGGCTTTATTGCTTTGAGCATGCATCATTGCACCCCAGTGCTTTACAGAGGAGTAAATCGAATGCTATGCTTCATTATGGGATGCAAAGTCTCATAAATGGGGTTTAAAGTCTGATAGAAATGACCTAGGATGCTCTGGGGTGCCCGAATAAATAAGTAAAATAAAAAACAGTATGTAAAAGCTAGTTTATTCATACTTCCTGTCATATAGGTAGGTGCTGGGACAAATCCTCTGGAGGGAGCTGCATTGGGTATGTCATTGCTAGAATCTTTTGCAGATGCTAGTTCTTTGCTTACCTTAGCTACAACACATCATGGAGAACTCAAGACCCTTAAGTACAGGTGCTTTGTTTTTAAAATGTAATGTTCATAATCATGAAGAGTTTCCTCCTAAGGGTGTATTTTCATGTTCTCATTAAAAACATTGGCAGTAACGAGGGCTTTGAAAATGCATGTATGGAATTTGATGAAGTGAATCTAAAGCCAACGTATAAGATCCTTTGGGGAATTCCAGGTTCTCTTTTGTTTTTGTAGTGGTAGTTTCTTTTTAGCTTCAGGTAAGTCTGTCGACCTAGTCATATAGTTTTCTGTTTCATACAATTGGTTTTATGTTGTTAATTGTTATATATATCTCACGTATTGACATTCTAGATTCTAGAATATTTCATTTTAGCTCTGTCATGAGACTCTTCTGTGATATATAAATATACGATCTGAATACTGTCATTTAGCACAAACTTATGAAGCATCTCTGGTTGCAGGACGTTCAAATGCAATCAATATTGCTGAAAGACTTGGAATGCCTAAGGCAATTCTGGATGATGCTCGTGAAATTTATGGAACAGCCAATGCAGAAATTAACGAGGTAATTTAATCCAACAACCTTTGGAAGAGTACATGTCGGGATGTCTTTTTAAGGTCAAGTTTGAAAAGCTTTTACCAATATCTGTATATCTATGATATTGTTTGCAAGACTGTTCATATACTTTTTCCGTCATTGAAGATGAAAAGGATTTCCCCGATCATGAACTTAGGTGTTTTTTGGTGAGTGATATTGAAATGTAATTAAATGTATGTGTAATGTTTAAACCAAAAATATTTTCTTGCATTATACTACATGTCATCATGGTCTATAAAACTACTCCTAACTGTCCAGAATGTGTTTGTGGTATTATCGTTTCTGTTGCATGGACCAATTAGTTTGTATAATATGAAGTTCATTGATCAATTGAGGAAAAACTTGCTTTGCAGTGCTCTTGTTTAGTTAAGCGTAATATCATGGAGCCCAAACTACATAGATTAGGAAGTCTACAATCATGAATTGTCTAGTTTAACTTCGTGGACTTTAAACTTGGTTCATGTATTTGTATGCTTATTGTTTTTATACCCTTATATTTCTGCAATGTGAATGCAGGTTATACTTGACATGGAGAGATTTAAGCACAAGTCTCATGAGCAAGTCCATGAGGCTCAACATTACTTGGAGTAAGTTGCTATTTGATTAATTGGCGATTTGGCATACCATAAACTATTTCATTAAAGTACTCTGTATTAATTAGTATGTTATGTTCAGGCTGTCAAGAGAGCTATATGAGAAGGTACTTATTGCGAGAAAGAGAATCATTGAACACGGGATTGAGCAAAGATACAGGAAGATGGAAGAAATTTCTCGCTTAGAAGCAGCAGCACGCTCTGAACTTCACAGGAAAGCCCGGCAGTTCCGTGCATCTCGCAGGCAACTCTCTGAGAGATATTCAGATGCTTTTGGAAAGGAGACTTCTAAGACACTGGAAACTGAGAGTTTTGAAGCTACCAGGGATGAAAATGCTGGCAAAAGCTTAAAGCCTCAGGTTTTAGGCAAGTTTTTTATCGTGTTATTTAGTGTACTACCATCCTTCCAAACAAGAGTGTTGCTTCATAAATACATTAACACACCATTAATGAAATCATCAATTCTAGCTCCACTTTTAGAGCCCCCCTTTTTAGAGTTATTTGGCTTATAAACTGATCTGCTGAATTGTTTTGAAAGAAAGCGTTTATAAAATGAAATAGCCAAGGTGCCAAATAAGTAAGTTAAATTGTAATTATCCTACATATGAGCAAAGTAAGACATTAAAGCTACCACATAGAGCCTTAAATGTATTTGTCGGTTTAACTAAAGTTTAACATACATCACATGTTTGGGATGCCTTTTTGAGGGGCATGGGAGTACGATAAATATATGCTCCCTCCATATTTAAAAGTTTGTTACACTTTCCCCTTTTGGTATGTTTTTCCTTTAAAAATACTTAATTACCCTTTTTTCTACTTTTTATCTTCTCCTTTATGCTTTTACATCCTCTTTCCTACTTTTTCTACACTATTCATTACCCCTATTGCTTTCCTCAGATAATGTGTCAAATCCAATGTAGTGATCTTTAAGTTTTAAATTAGGACTTATTTTTTTGGATGCCTTCTTTTTGCCAAATGACTATTGCATTCAAGCATTCTAATGCAACATGTTTTGCATATTATCATCCAAGATGTCTGTCATGCTAAATTGGCATGATATTGTCACTTGAGTTGTCACCTTGCCCATGTCACTTGCTACTCACCTTGTTAGGTGACATAACATGCTAATTTGGCACCCCATCTAGACGATGTATTGCACATGACATTTTTACATTGCAATACCATTGCTTGCTCACCATTCTGGTAATCTTATTTTGGAGAACAGCAGAGAAGAGAGCGATGCTACCCAAGGTTGGGGACATGGTGCAGGTTCTTTCTCTTGGCAAAAAAGCTCTAGTTCTCAAAGTGGATTCTTCTCGAGGGGAAGTTGTCATTCAAGCCGGTAACATGAGGCTTAAATTGAAAGCTTCAGATGTTGTAACTTGATTTGTAGGGGTTCGTCCATAATCCAATGTGCTTTTTCTGCAATTGGTATTATACCATTTGTTAGTAATTAATACAATTTTGGTAGAATGCACGGCTTTTCTACCCCAGCATAAGCATCTCCATTAGAATATGGCAATTTGTCATTCTATATCTTGCATTCTTACACAAGGATGCGGGATGCATTGTATATAGAGTAGCTTGGTCAACTTCATTTTTGCTGAAAATGAAGTCTATGATCCAAATTATTTATCATTAGAATCCATGAGCAGTTTCAAACGTTGGAGCACTAAAAACTTTAAAATTTTCTGGCTTAAATTTGATTTTGATGATGAATTAATATTAGTTGTTAATTACGGAGTAAGTGCTAGAGGTTTGAGCTTGAGGCGGTCTACACTCAAAATAAAATTAAGATTAATGGTTGAAATTAATAGTTGATATTAATGAAAAAATTTATCTTTGACCAAAAATGAAATTGGTTTGATGCGATTCCACTGTTTCCAAAAAGAAGGCATTTTTTTTTAGAGTAAAAAGAAGGCATTTTTAGAAGTACCGCACTACCGATTACTATGTTATCAATATTAATTTCTTGGCAACTCTCCTGGATGAGCAGTAATTTTGTTTTTTCTCTAACCAAGCTATTTATACACAAAAAATAGTAGCTCACAGATCAAAAAAATAGTACCCCTTTGTTCTAAAAAATAGTTCCCGATTCTCTTTTTGTGATGTCCCAAAAAATATTTTTCATTTTCCTTTTTAGAAAGTTGTGTGTGACTCATATTTATTTTCTTTTTTCTTACTTATTCAGAACTATACATTTTCACTTTACTTTCACTTTATTAAACTTCAATCAAAGTAAATGTGGAAACTATTTTATGGGACGGAGAGAGTGAGATGCATGTGTACACAAAACTCTCTAATTGCTTGTGTATAGAGCAATTTATTACAAATGAGGCAGGATTTGATGTCAAAATCCCTCCAATTAGTGACAATGTACACATTTCTTCTGTACTTCAAGAATGAACTTAATTAAATGTAACAAATGTGTACCGGTATTTCTTAGGAAATCTTAAACGCAAAATAAACGTTCCCGTGAAGACAACTTTGGTTTGGTTGCAAAAGAAATCCAAGTATCGAAACTTGTACTGAACCAATTAATCCAGTTGACTTATCCTATACTAAATCCCCGCTGCAGGACACTTCATCGGCGGAAACCGCCAGCCCGAAATCTACGGTAACGTCCAGAAAATAGAGCATGAAAACCATGAAAACACAACAAACGAACATAGGAATAGGTCCAAAGATCCACAAAAAGAGGGGAAACGAGAAGTAAAACGCTCTCAGCCCCAACGACCAAAAGTAGCTCCCTCTGTTCACGGTCCTCCCCACATACTCCGTCGTCAGCGCGAAACGGCACTGCCCGTCCGGCCCTTCCGTTATCTTCCGGAAGGGAACGTTGACGAGGAAGCTGGCATGGCTGTAGTACCTTATGGACTGAACGTTGAACAGGAACGCCACCAGGAAACACACCAGTATCGAGAAGAACTTGACGCACGAGGCGAAATCGCTCCGATCTCCGAGCAGAAATCTGATCGAACGGTCACCGGTGCCGCCGCCCGTCATCAGGACGGCGATGAGCGAGCTCAGCATTATCGCCGTCGATGCTAGAAGCGTCGACGCCATTATGTTGTTCCTCAGCGTCTGAACTGCCAAAACCCCGTTCTTCGACACATCCTGTATTCACATAACATAACATTCTTAGATTCGATTATAGGCATAATTAGATTTAGGCGATGAAAACCTAAGAATTTCAATTTCATTTCGCTTAATGCGATTGAATGATTGATGATGAGGGAGAATCGATGAGTGAAATTACCTCCATCATAGCACGGACCCATAAGCGGCGGTTGATTGCATTGACGCCGATGACGGTGCGGTTGGGTTGGTTCCTGATCTGGACGAGAAGCCATAGGTGATAAGCGAGCATTAGTAGAAGTCCTAGTGGCACCAAAACGTAATCCAGAATTTCTTTCTCCATGTGACTGTAATTTTTGTTGAATCTTCCGATGAATGGAGATATATAGCTGGGCAAAGCTCTAGCAAAAAGCTTCTTACTGCAACTCTTTCGTCTTCATTTATGATTTCGCGTTTTCAAAACAAAACGCCGGGATGCATGCTCGGCAAGGGCGTGTCCTCGAAGCTAGGGGACTGCAGAGGGGTCACTTGACTTTAACTCCAACCATTATCTATATACACAGACGTATATTTATGTTCTGTTTTCTGGACGTTTCCGTGGATTGACAAACGAAATTACGAAATCTCATAAGGAGTAACATAAAATTCCTGCACTTTTTTTAAATACGATAGACTTTGATTAATGTAGGATGTTTAAGTCAGTCTCGATGTCTGATTTAAAGTAGTATTTTTAAGTGTGATACGGTCTCATATGAAATAAATTTAAGTAAAAATGTCATAGTTAGAACTTGCTCAATATGTCACAAAATCATTGTGATTAGTCACATTCACGTTATCATCTTTACGAGTTCGAGATAAATAAGAAAATCAATTGCTACCCTGCCATTCAATGTAGTGGGAAAATCTTTGTGATTAGTTAGAACTTTATTATGATAAATGCATTTTACTATATTCCTAGTGCGTTTAATCTTGATATTGTTTGGATCTGATTCTTAAAACTGATTCTGCTCCTTCAGGAAGCAGAATCAGAAGCTGGAGTGTTTGAGTGAAATTCCAGAAGCACTTCTGGGACTCTAATTTACTCCTAAAATCAGTTTTTTTAGAAGCTGGGGGGTACCAGCTTCTGAAAACTGATTCTGATTCTGCTTCTGCTTTTAAAAAAGAATCACAAGCAGAATCAGTTCCAAACACCCCTTAGTCACATATGAGAACTCCATTGAGAACTCGACATAAATATCAAGTCTACATAGTATAGTCATATATTACCTTTGTCCTAGGGGTTGGTGTGTGGGTGTAGTCCATTGGATGATCGACCATCCACCGCAAATCTTTCCTTTGTGGGAGGTCTTAATTCATAGATTTCAGGATTATGAGAACGCAAACACCGACATCTGGATTCTCAAAAAAGTACTCCCTCCGTCCCGAAAACAACCTCCCGGTTTGACCTACACACATATTTAGAAAATAAATTTGACTTTACTGTAGAGTGCATTGTTTGGCACTGTTTAAACACTGTTTTACACTGTTCATCACTTTTTTAATGTAGATTATTTGCCAAATAAGGAAAGTATTGAAGTGGAAAGTTAATTTGGGGACATATATTTAAGGAAAGTGGGAAGTTGTTTTTGGAACGGAGGGAGTATATTACTTCCGTCCTCAAAATAACTTCCAGTTTTTCTTATTTTAAGTGTCCCAAAACAATCTTGCAAAAAAAGTGTCCTAATATAAACTTCATATATTCATAAAAAGCACTAGTAACTTTTTCATAGAAAGTATCAAATATTCTCATATTTTTTGTTTACTTTTTGGTGACAATTCCGGTACCTTTTAAAAAAATGGGGTACCGTACCTACCATTCATTTGATTGGACCACATCACTTTATCTTTTTTAATTTAGATTTAAATAGTTCAACTATAACATTCTAATTGGTCCATGTGGACAAAGGTATGATATCTCATTGGTACCATAGAATCTACCTTACTTTTTATACACAAAGTATGACATTTTTAGAAAGTCAACTAGCCACGTTAACTTTTCACTAAAATTTCCTCAACTCAAAATGGAAAGTTGTTTCTGAGCGGATGGTATGTGTTACTCCGTATATCATTACTAGTTTTTGTATCGCGCGTTGCGCGAGAATGCAAGTGCCCAATATTATATTTATAATACATAGAACTTTTTATAATTACTTTTTCTATTTGGACAAAATCAAAATATAAATTGAAATTTGCATTTGACATAGCCGTAAATTTATACTCCTTCCGTCCCAATTTACTTAGCCAAACTTGTTTTTTCAAGTCAATGGTACCTAACTTTGACCGATTATATATCTATATAGAAAAAATATTAATAATATAAAAATTATATGAAAATGTTCTTTGTTGAAAATACAATTATAAAAGTATAAAATTATTATTTCTTTCATAAATATATTAGTTAAAATAATTGGTCAAAGTGTACCACCTTTGACCGGAAAAGTCAAGATTGGCTAACTAAATTGGGACGAAGGGAGTACAATTTTTGGGTATATGAAGTCTCTCACATTAGGAGGGAGTACATTCTAAAGCCATCAACATGTGACATTGTTAAGCATTGTCTTCCTTTGAAACACTCCCATGTGGCTTGGTGCGTGCCTTGGTCTGCACAACAATGATATAGGCTCTGTTTGCAAACACAACTAAAAAAGCACTTCCCAGCTTTTGGCTTAAAAAAGCTAAAAAAGATGTTTTCAAATGACAACTTCTACTTAAATGAATTACTTAAAAGCTAAAAGTTAGAATCTGCTTTTTACTTTTTCTATTACACAAAAAGCACTTATTTTACCAAACACCACCAACTTTTACTTTTCAAAATCACTTTTTTCTCAAACACTACCAACTTTTACTATTAATCACTTTTTTACCAAATCATTTAAAAAAGTTAAAAGCACTTCTCAATTGGGTTTGCAAACAGAGCCATAGACAACTTTAGTAATGAGATTCCCATATGTAATAGAATACACAATATTGTAGAGTTTACACAACTTTAGTACCTGGGTGAATTATTTTGAAGATTCGAACCGATCTGTTAGTACGTTCTGGATGATCTTTGAACAGATTTGAAACACCATATAAGAAAGTCGTATCTGGCACACGAAATGAATCACAATAAGTGATTACAGTAAGTAGCCACGATAAAACAGAATGTTTGTTTGCTTGTGACTGTACAGATCTTATTCATGGTCTTCATTACAATTGGTATAATCCCTATAGATCAATGTTGTCATTAATAAAAACTTTGCACTTAAAATAGTAACTAAAACCTTCAAAAAACCATAGATGAACCACACATAGTAAGAAATGTAATATTTTTTGACAACCCATTTAGTGTTTACATATAGGGCTGGACTCGGGCCGGGCGGCCCGAACCGGAACCGGTCCGGCCCGGCCCGGTTACTGTGTGAACCGGCCCGGCCCGGTGGCCCGGTCCACCGGCGGTTCGGGTCGAACCGGCCCGGTGGATACCGGTTCCGGGGCCTCCATTTGGTGAACCGGCCCGGCCGGTTCGGGCTCGGTCCGGGCCGGAATAATTTTATTTTTATTTTTTTTTTTAATTTTTTTAATTTTTGGGTTGGATTAGGTATTTTGGGCCATTTGAGGTGGTTTGGGGTGGTTTGGGGTTGAGGGGGAGGGGGAGGGGGTTAAATAAGAGAAGCCAAAAAATAAAAAAATAAAAATGGGGCGGGTGAACCGGCCCGGAACCGGCCCGGTCTGGCCTGGAACCGGCCCGGTCTGGCCTGGAACCGGCCCGGAACCGGTCACCGCCGGTTTGGGCCCGGGCCCTCCTTTTGGTGAACCGAGGCCCGGCTGGTTCAAGGCCCGAATCGGGCCCGGCCCGAACCGAGTCCAGCCCTATTTACATACATGGAGGAAAGCGGGAAAAAAAACAATTCTTAGAAGAAAATGTTGCAAAGGCAATTTAATGAGTACTAACTTTAATTTTATTTCCAAAAGAAAAAGGATAAATAATTCTCTAATCAGAAAGTGATCTTCAAATTAGCTTGTTAAATAGTCAAATGCAATAGCAGTGAGCATTCGATTAAAAAATAGACAGTCTTTATAATTTATCTATATATATATATATATATATATATATGTATATATATATATATGTATGTATATAGGAAGCATTACTTCCTCAAATCTGAAACATAGACACTTCGTCTTGCCCTTTCCCTCCCCTATTTGAGTTATAGTTTATTTTTTCAAATTACATAATATGAATATATGATAGCCATTTGTATGATCACATCTAGATTCAAACAAGCCCAAAAAATACAAAAACGTTGTAGGTTGACCAATCAAAAGAACCAATAATCAGCTGTCTATTTTGAACTTTTTTCCTTGAAAATATAGTGTCACAGGAAGTTCATGATGAGAAAACAATGAATATAGTAGCTTAATTTAAGTTCCATAAAATCATAATGTAAATCTCCCCCGAAAAAAGTATGTCCAAGATGGCTTAAATACCAACAAATTGAAAATACGCCTTGGGGAGAGTGTGGGGCTCAATTTTTGCTAAGATGTAATAGTGGTTAACATCATGCAAATTGAGGAGCAGTAATGGCCACAAAGGCATTAAAATAGTCCATTTTCGAATTTGTGTCGATCGTAAAATTACCAAGTCCACAATCCACCTTTTAATAATTATACTCCGTATTAGACATTTAGGCTCATTCCATAATACCTTATTCTTTGGATTATGATTTATGAAACTGATTTGGTCATTATTACAAATACAAATTGGACATGTACTTGGAGGCCATTATTTTTATATGCTTTTATTTTTTTTTTAATGTGTCATTTGACTTCCAATGGCCCCAGAATGGAAATTTGAAGTCTTTGAGTTCCGATTCTATAGTTTTTCTTGGGTCTTCAAAACTATTGAGACGGTCCTACTCTCAAACATAAATGATTTTGATTTTTTATATGTTTCCTTTTTGCAACATTAAGCCTTTCATTGCCATTATTAAATTTTGATCCATTTTGCAAAGAACTGGTCATAGAATGAGACATTCACAAAGTTTGCCTATTTCATGAGTGCAATTTAACAAAAACAAACCTATCCATAAAATGAACTGTTACGGACAAAAAGAGAACACTCAAAATGGAAGAACATATTCTTAATTAATCATCTTAGGATGTTTTCTTTTCGACTGAAATTTGCTGGTCTGGTCTGGTCTAGTCTGGTCTGATCTGATCTGATCTGGTCTGAACTGGTCTGGTAAACGTCCGGTCTCTGTGTATTTTATAACTACGGAAATCTGGTGAGGTCTGGTCTGATCTAGTCTGGTCTGGTCTGATCTTGCCTGGTCTGGTCTGGGACTGAAAACAGTCCAAAAGAAAACATCCTTAGCCACATCTGATGCAAAACGGAATACTACATTTCTATCAGTTTCCTTCTTCATATAAATGAGATTGCCAAAAATGCATTTCCATGGGCCAATTTTCAAGAAAGCTTACAATTTTGACACAAAGAAATAGAACTAAAACCAATCAAAACAGGAATTCATCATCAAACACCTTATGAGCATAATCTAAATTTAGCAACCAATCTATAACAATCTTCACTCTGTGGGAATTGAATCTAATGTTCATATCACCAAAAGAAAAGAAAGCATGCGGGACTAAGAGATCGATAGAACAAAGATACCATGTTTTATTACGAGATGATAAGGTGAAGAGCTTAAAAGAGTTCTGGTTTGTTCTGGAAGGGAGTAATCCAGAAATGTGACCTCTGTTGAGACCCTAAAAAAGTGAGTTTAAGTATTAACAAATAATGAAGCAATGATTAAATACTGCGTTATTCATTGTCACTTCGAATTTTGTCCACTCAAATGTAGTCATCAGCCGCCTAAACTCGTAATGATCAACGAAAATAATTTAAACAACATAGTTATAGAGGAAACATAGCTCGCACACCTGAAGGATAAAAGAGTCTTCTAATACTCTGAACAAAAAACACTGGTAACCAAGCGTGTAAAGATCAGATCTGGCGGGAGATTATTCGAGAGCCTTGGGCTTAATCCTTCCAGTACAAGCATACTTTATCCGTTCAACTACTCACAGACAAACCACACTGGTTAGTGCCAGTTTAATTAATTTAAATAGCTTGATGAGACTTCGGCGTGTAAAAGAAGGATTGTGAGAGCGAAAGTGAGGGATCAATCACATTCTACCCTTAGCTTCTTACGATATTCTAACGTAAAGTTTATCACCTGAAAAGGCTATCAGATACCTTGGCTCGGTAAGTCAGCTGAATGAATTCCGTGTCTCCAGTTTGGAAGACCAGTCGTTTCTGTTAATTAGTAACCCACGTTTATTATTCCCTCACTGAACTACTCATTGCATACGGAGTGTTAAAGACTATTCTAAATGAGTCACAAATTTAACGGAGGTTAATGGAGCAAGTCCAATATGCATAGATGTACAACTTCTACATCTAGAAGTACCACCTTACCTAACAACCAAGTTACACCAACATTTTTTTCATACCTTAAATACCCTAACCATCATTGATGTTTATAAGATTTTAGATTAGATTTATTGGGGAATGTGTCATATCATTATTTCCTTCCAACATACTGTAGTAAGTAGTCACAAAATGATAGCAAACTCATAAGCTTAATCAGCAACAAAAAACAGTTATTATTGAACATATATCCAATAAGATAGAACCATGACATAGTTGAGTTTGTAAGAATAGCCCTGACCCCTTTGTAGTCCAAACACAGTTTTCATATTGACACAATGCAAATATAATAATTTGAACTCTTGACAACTACAAATTGATCTTACCCTTCATTAAGCTCTCAAAAAATATACTCCCTCCGTCCCTGATTGTTCTTCCAAATTAAAGTGGCACGGTGATTAAGAAAGTGGGAATTGTGTGGTAGAGAGTTGTGCAGAGGAGAGAGAAATGCTGTGAACCACAAATTCTTTGCAAAAAAGGGAAAGTGAAGTTCTTTTTGGGACAGACGAAAAGGGAAAGTTTGAAGTAAATTTAGGGACAGAGGGAGTATTACCTACATTCAAGAGTACAATTATATTTCATTGTTCATCTTATCAAATTAAATTGTTTTTAATATTTGAATTTATATATTTGACTTTTATCATTGATATAATGGTATGCATGAATTAACTTTATAGTCAATGAAACATGCTAAAGTGAACTAATGAGAATCTATTGTAAAACAAAGCAAATATATGTATTGGTCCTACTTTTTCTTTTGACTAATTATCTTTTTCAAACCAAAAGAAAATAAATGTTGTAATCGTTAGCTACGGAGTATTTGCTTTAAAATTATAAGCAAGTACAGCAAATTATTCATTAGAGTTTATCTTAGATCCCTTTAAACAAAATCATGTATGATGTATGGCTATGTATGTATGTTTATATATTTGTTAAGATATGATGTTTCATCCTAAAAGGCCAACCTGATAGGAGGAGTAGCCTAAAATCTTATACAGTGTTTAATTGTTTTATAGCTTTTCGGTGTGGACAAATGCTTTTAACACGCCCCTCAACCCAATCCGGGCTGGACAATATCAGGATATATAAACAGGTCAAACAGACCCTTAACAAACTAACATTAATCATGAGTGTTAAACAAGCCGTCAAACCAAAACCGGGGTTGGCTCTGATACTGCCAACCAATATTACTACCTTCTTCTTATAATGTATGAATATGTGAGTTTGACATTAATTATAACAAAATAAAAAATAAATTGATAGTTTGCACATCTACCCCAAAAGGAAAGAAAAGAAAGTTGAGTCCATAAAAATAGAGAGTGAAACGATAGATAACGGACAAAGTGTGAAAGTAAAGAGTTAGTATAGTTTAATTTATGATGTATTCATGTACGGAGTACTTGGTATATTTTTGGGTCAATCTAAAAAGAAGGTGTATTTGATCCATTTGAAAATTGATGCTCAATATGATATTCACATTAGTGTCCGATTTTACTCATTTCAAACATTAGTGTTAATTATATGAATTCCATGTAACTAGTGTCCACTGTCCAACTTCATTCTTTTATCGACATTTTTATTGTTTTATTTTTAATTGATTTGGCTTTATTGGTTTTTAAAAATATATTGAATTTTATAACTCGGTTTTGATTTTTCTATATTATTTACAATTTAATTTAATTTGATTTAATGCCATATTAAATTGAATGATATAAGGAAATTTCACGAAATTGGACTTAAATAGTTTGAAAATTCCAAAATAAGACTGACATGTTTTTTTTTCCTAAAATGAGAGTAATTACCGTCAAGTTTTGAAAATACTGCCACGTTTAAAGTCTGGTAATAATAAAACATGACAATGATAATGTCCTATTTTGGAATTTCAAACTTCATATTTCACCTAATATTATATCAAGTCCAAAACAAATTATACAGAGTACTTCATACGAGTATATGATTAGGTTCTGATTCAATTAGTTGATTTTAGTACGGTTTGGTTCTAACTAATCAAGCCTGATGTCGAAGCATCTTTCTATTTCCGTATAAAACGGTAGAACCTCCCGACCGGACTGCACGATGCCCGTCGCCTCTTCAAAGCAACTGCTATCGGCTAACGTGCGCATATCACATTTCGTTCCGTTGGCTCTTAACTCTTCCCTCGCCTCACCGCTGTCTTGCTCCATTTGTCCTAAAAGCTTATCCTTAGCGGAGAAAGAGGTTAGAGTTTTTACGAAAGCATCAATGGCTGATTTTGCTACTGGAGAGAGGAAGGCCAAAGTAAAAGTGTTCGATTCAGAAGACGAATTAAAGGCGTCTTTGGCGAAATACACTGCCGATTTATCGGAGAAATTTTGCGCAGAGCGAGGCTCCTTTTCCGTAGTTTTCTCCGGCGGGTCTCTCATCAAGTGTCTCGGGTGATGCACTAATGCGTCGTCTACTTCTACATTTCGTTATCCTCATCTTTATAATTGTTACTCCGTATTATTTTTCTTGAAATTAAAAATTAGATCAATGCCTGACAGATTGAGTTTACAACGATAGGAAATTACTAGAACCTCCGTATGTTGACTCTGTGAATTGGTCAAAGTGGCACATTTTCTGGGTGGATGAGCGCGTGGTACTAAAGGATCATCCAGATAGCAATTACTTGCTCGCTTATGATTCTTTTCTATCCAAGGTACGCGATTTCTGATTATACTGACTGGCTTTATTTTCGAACAAAAGCATCCCATTTGTAGGAAAATGATCACATCTTTTGATTTGTTTGCCCTTGTTTTCTGAAAACCTAAGGCACTTTCTGATTTCACAGTATTCCATCTTTGGATAGGGCCAGTTACTATAAAGTACCCAAGTGATTTGAATGCAACATCCATTACTACATTGGGATTCTGTTTTCATTGGGTAGTTTGTATAAGTGAAGAGATTTAAGATGATAAGGAGAGGATGAATTGCTAATGGCAATGTAACGGTGAAATGTATTAATAACAAGAATCGGTGGGTCTCTATTTTTAAGGCGGAAATTCAAGCAACACATGGAATGCTGCTTTGATTGGTTTTTATTCAGTTAAGATAATGCAGGTAGAGATCACATAGGGCAAATCGAAAAGCATAAAAGGTAAGAGGTGTGAGAAGAAACTGAATAAAGAAGTAAATGAAATCAGTTGATGTGAATAGATTTTACCGTTAAGGTCTGGAAGTGTATAATGGAGAAGTGCACTTCCGCTTTCAATCTATAAGAGAAAGTTAGATTTTTAACACTGTTCTAATAAAATAGGAATAAAACTAATGACACATACATGAATCATTTTGTACATTTCATTTTTATTACCTGCCCAGTGTTTTTAAGTACTCATCATATATTCATATTTGTACGTAAAACATAAAGGCAAACACACTACCCAAAAAGAAAAGGCAAACCATGTTGAAGTATTAATATGCGAGTATGACATAAACCTTACCTTTTGAAGATTTTTTGGGGTGAGTTAGGCCTAATTTAATATGGTATGGTGTATGGGAGCTTGGTCTGGTGTGTTTTTGTTTGTCTAGAACTCAGGGTTTGGAGCTTGTTTGGTCAGTTTGGCTCATTTATTTACCATCCAATCGTCCCATCTTGTTCTTTTTCTTTTGTAGATACCCATTCCTGCTGGTAATGTGTATGCCATAAATGAGGCCTTGTCTGCTGAAGGTGCAGCAGATGATTATGAGACTTGTCTCAAGCATTTGGTCAAAACCAAGATAGTATGCATGTCTGAGTCTAGTGGATTTCCACAATTTGATCTAATACTGTTAGGAATGGGTCCCGATGGCCATGTTGCTTCTCTATTTCCTGGGCACCCTGTTCTCCAGGAGAAACAGAAGTGGTTTACGTTCATTACGGACTCTCCTAAACCTCCTCCAGAAAGGATCACTTTCACATTACCTGTTATCAACTCTTCTGCAAACATTGCTCTTGTTGTATCCGGCGCTTCCAAGGCAAAAGCTGTGTATTCAGCATTGAGGGATGGCAGTCAAAATCCCATTTCATTGCCGGTACAAATGGTTTCGCCTGGAGGGGAACTTGTCTGGTTTTTGGATAAGGGAGCTGCCTCAGAGCTCTAAGTATGCATGTATATATGTAATCTCAATGGTTGTGTTGTGCTTTTGATGGTTTCTCTTGTATATACAGGCAATAAAGCGGATTGGTATACCTTTACACTCTATAGGTTGAGCATAATAGGAATATAGGATACCCGATCCCAATGTGTTTAAGGACTACACAGGAAAACGTTTTGACAAGGTTTGAATAGTTTTGGGTCTTTTTTCTTGCATATAAATTCTTTACCCGTTTTTGGTATGATCTTTATTTAATTGCTTCCACATATGGCATATAAAACCATATATCCGTTTTTCAAACTGTCATCATAGGAAGTTATTTGTGGCTTATTATTATTGTTATCTTCATTACTATTATTGTTATTATTATTCTTATTTATACATGTTCTTTCATACGTAGTATGAAGCTATTTTGTCATAGTTATTACGGAGTATAATTTTCCTTTCACAGAATCACAGGCGGATGTTAGACTAGTTTTTGTATTTGTCAAGTGACGACTGACGAACAGTTGTTTAAATTAACAAAGGGTGATTTAGGACGTTTTTACTTTGGACTGTAATTTGCTGGTCTGGTCTGATCTGGTCTGAACTGGTCTGGTCTGGTTTCTTTGTATTTTTATAACTACCCAAGTCTGATATGTTCTAATTTGGTCTGGTCTGAGACAAATTACCATCCAAGTAAAAACATTCTTATGGCAATTCTTCCCTGGTCCCTACACTCTTATATTTCAAATTTTCAAGATTTATATATAAATACAAGTTTTAGTAGTTAAATAGTTTTATTGAATATTAGGAAATGTTCATTCACGGTAAAATTTAATGGCTTAATTTGGTTTAAATTGGTATTAGTATCTTTACCCGTACTGTGCATGGGATAAAATGTTTTTGTTGTTCAATTTTACTGACAGAAAATCACTTATTTAATCAATTATAACATTGGTTTACAATTCATATTCTAATTTATTGTATGCCTTATTTTTGAACTAATTATCTAAACATGTTTTCAGTCTATATTATATACTCCCTCCGGTTCTAAATAAACTTCTCACTTTCCTTTTTGGGACGGTCCAAAATAAACTTCACACTTCCTTATTTCCTTATTTGGCAAAGAAATCTACACCAAAACAGTGCCAAACAGTGCCAAACAGTGTCTCAACAGTGCCAAACAGTGTCTCAACAGTGCCAAACAGTGCCAAACAGTGTCTCAACAGTGTACTCTACAGTAAAGTCAACTTTATTTCCTTAATAACTGTGAAGTCAAACACTGAAGTTTAAAAAGAACTGGAGGGAGTAATAAAAAGTGCGTAGTTTTTTTATGACTCTCGGTTGCATTCAATTGGAATTAATACATTTTTACCTAAAGAAAAAGAAAATGCTTAGTGTCTATTTCTATCCATTAAATTTCATTCGTTACTTACTATTTTTTTGTAAACTAACTACACATTTTTATAATTTATTTATCTAAAAATGGGCGTTGTCGGAAGCAAAGACGGACAGAGCTGCCGAGCTGGTGCGGAAGGGGAAAGGTTTGTATGGAGCTTTACCAATTGAATACGAAGAAAACTTCGACGATGGAGTAAATAACAGGCCGTGAGCTTTATATATTGTTGCACGTTCTACTTCATTTTTTATTTAATTACTAGTTTTAAAAACGCGGTCGTCTCCTAGGTTTTCATAGGGAGTTTTTCCGGCGCCGTCCATGGTGGCGGTAATGTCCGGTTGTTCTTCTCTCGATTGTTTGAGGGTTCTATCAAGGAAGAAACATGAGTATTATGAGCTGGAATTGTCGGGGTCTAGGAACCCTAGCCACGACTTAGTGTGTTACACAGACGATGTTCTCGAATGCGGCTTGGTCTCGGTTGGGACTCAGGTGAATGGACGGAGCAAGATTGAAGGCCAAAGATCGTTCATGGTGGAGATCAAAAGGTCATGGACGAAGTGTGGGGTTAGGGGCTGGATCAGATCTGGATCGGAGGCAAGGAGCGGAAGATGATTCAGTATTGTTGGACCGTCCCCCTCCTGAGCCGCCGCCATGGAGTGCAGGAGAGTCTAGAGTTTGGAGGCAGTATTTTAATTTTATTATTTGCTTGCTTTTTAATTTCCATGGTCAGACTGTTCTGTTTTACTTTTATTGTTTCCTTTGCTGTAAGACTCTTGCATTAAGGTGAGGGGGGAAAGAATCTGTGGTAACCGTCATTAGCTCTAAATTGCCCAAATTTGGTCTAGCGAGTTATACTGCTTTTTTACAGGTGGTTAGCTCTCAGTCTCGGCCACGGGCTGATGGTTATTTGTGGTTTTTTTATAGTTCTGTACCCTTGCTGAATGCTATTTTTATGAATTAAGTCTTCTTCGAGCAAAAAAAATGTGCGTTGTCAATTTTTTTTTAAGATATTAGTCCTAGGTTTTAGAAATTTTCAATTTAGTTTTTTGATATCTTTCTTTAAGAAAAAAGTTTAGAATATATATTTTGTGACATTCCCGATTTTAATGAAGGCGATGGTGGAGACCATAGGTTGCATATTGTGATGGGCAGCGATCAATTTATTTTTCATTAGATTGAGGTTATTATATTGAAGGTATATATGATTTTATTAAGTAAAATAAGTATTATTGAACGAAGAAAAGTTGCATTCTTTAGACTTTTAGACAATTTTTGGTTTAATTTGGTTTAAATTGGTATATCAATATAAGTTTGCTCTATCCCGACCTTGTCATAATTGCTCTCTTTTGATAATATAGTTTAGAGTAAAATGCATAAATGGTCCTTAAACTATCATCACCATATCGTTTTGGTCCTTCAACTAATAAATCTATCATTCTAGTCCTTAATCTATTTAATACATTTTAATCCAATCCTTTTGTTACCTTCCGTTGACATTTGCCGTTTATGGTCAAACACTCAACCTTCATTAAATTTTATACATTACTCATCTTTAACTTAAATTTTATACATAACTCATCTTTAACTTAAATTACTCAACCTTTAATGTTTAATTTGAACTCATGACATCCCAAATACAAGCACACGTCACTTTATTAAATCACCATGAAAACCTAGAGCTTGAAGCCCAACAACGTCATCTTGGACAAAAATTAAAAAAAAATATAAAAAATAAAGAGAGAACCTAGAGCTCCAAAAAACCTAGAGGTCGTTTGGCAACACAGTTTTTCGGCTTATCAACCAGCTTTTTCACTAAACACGTAATTTTTGCTTTCCCGCGCTGAATTGTGTAATAAGCAGAAAAAGTATGATTGAGGTTACTTTTCCGACTGTATTGGCTGAAGTTACTGTGGATTATCATTTTAGCTATTTTTACATATAATTTTTTCTTTATTTTATTAATAAAATAGATTTTAAAAGCAATTTTTTCTTAAATCAGCAGAATCAGCCAATGCAGTCACTTCAGCCAGAATTTCATAAATTTCAGCAGAATCAGCCAAATCAGCCAATTTTCGTGCTACCAAACGGGCTCCTAATTATTATTATAAGAAAACTAGTCTACAGTGAGCTGAAATACCTTGAGTTTGGTCAGCCAAGGTCACAAGTATCGCATGAGACAATGGATTTTCAGTTACCCAATATCCATCCTTGAGAACTTGAAGCCCAGCAACGTTGAGGGCAGGGAGGGGAGTAACTCAAAGTAATGTTTTAATGCAATTATCCAATTGCATCTTTAATGCAAGAACAAGGCAGGCCTAAACTTTGGAGATCAACTCCAGAAGTCTCTCAGCAAGGACTTTCATACAATCCGCATACTGTTCAACAACTGTTTTTGATAAAACTTATAATTGTTAGGCAGTTGATTTTTGCCACAACAAGTTCTTATGTGATTGTTGAAAAACATTTCAAAATGCATTGAATCCAAGAATGAGGTTACCCGACTTGAGCCTATAAATAATACTGCAACTATCAAAATCACTCCTCTATCAATTCTCCCAAGTCCCAACAGTTACTAAAAGGAATTCAAGTTACAGGTAATTTCATGTGCTTTTTCAACAATAAATGAATGAAAACAACAGCCTTATTGCCCCCAGCTCAGGAAAGCACTATCACAATTAAGACCATCTCAATATTTGCATCTCAATTAAGACACATCTTAACCATAAAAAATGACAAAACTTCAAAGTTGCAAAGTTGCAGCCTGCAGGGTACCGTGTACAATACAAATATTCCACCAGACACAAACTTGATTGGCAAAAGAAAGACATTTTTTGGCCAACTTAGTTGCTGCAAATTAGCACATTCCACCAGAAAAACTTCAAAGTAGCACATGATACATCAAAAAATTACTTAGATAACTACAATTATTCTTTCTTGCATGTCCTAATATTATGACCTTTTTCACCACATTTACGACATGTCATCGCGACACCCTTTTTCCTCAACTTAGTTGCTGCAGTGTTTGTACTTACTTCATCCGCTTCTTTCTTTCTTTTAGTCTTGGGTCTACCAGGTTGTTTCTTTTGAATCTGAGGCGGTCTTGGCTTAAAATTTGAATCTGGCCACTGTAACTCACCATTAATAGGCATGATAACTTGTTCATATATCTTTTTTTGTGTCTCCACCTGATAGCATGCATTGACATACCGCTCAGCTTTATCTTTGTTGTAAAAGATACACGCAATGGCATGAGGGCACGGTATTCCAGAGAGATCCCAATTTCTGCAGCTACATGTGTGATATTGCAAATCAACTATATACTGGTTTCCAATGCTTCTAACTTGGAACTGCTTGCATGAAGAAGGCTCGGGCCACTACTTGCTAGATAACTCTTTGTTCATGTCCAATCTTTTTTGTATCCTTGGACAAAGGGGTCCCTTATATTTATGTGCAAGTGTCCGTTTAACAAAGAACCGTCTCATTAATCTGGAGCGTATACTTTCTACCATAGTAAGAATAGGCTTGTCACGCAAATCCAAAATGTAGCGGTTGAAACTTTCACATATATTATTGAGCAGAATGTCACACTTTGAATTGGTACTGAAGTGTGATCTTGACCATTGCTGGGGTGGCTTCTCCCGCAACCAATCATGAGCCGTAGGGTACTTTTCATAAATCTCTTTCATCACTTTACTGAACTCAGCCATATTGCTTGCCTTTGCAGCAGACCATACAAGATCTTTCAATCCCTTACTGCTATGACCAGCCGTCTTCATGTTATTGTGCATATGCCTCACACAATGCATATGCTTGGACTCATTAAAAAGCTCCATCAATGATGTAATTAGTCCCTGTTGCAGAAAAACAGATATCATGCTAAAATATAGAATTAACTTAAAGCTTGAATAAAATATAAAATTACATTATACCTTTTGCCTATCAGACATCCATGTCCAGTTATAGGGATTCTCCATCTGAAGATGCTCTTTGATCAGATTGATAAACCACGTCCAAGTTTCTGTATTCTCGATTTCTACAACAGAAAACGCTATAGGAAATATGCAATTGTTTGCATCCAAACCCACTGCTGCTAGTAATTGCCCCCCATACTTACCTTTTAGGAAAGTTCCATCCAAACCAATTAAGGGCCTACATAATTTCATTCCTTCTAAACAAGGTCCTAATGCAACAAATAATCTCTGAAAAATCCTCAAATCCAGCTTACATAAAACATTATTCCTCGGATCAACCCTTTTTAACTCAACAGCATACTTACCGATGCTTGAGTATTGATTATCATAAGTACCTTGTAGCTTCTGAAGTGCGAAGTTCTTAGCTCTCCAAAGCTTCATTGGAGGGACATTGATAACAAAATCTTTGTATACCAAGTGAGCAAATGATGGAATTGATAATGTGGGATCAGCTAAGAAACAATGTAAATATTTATCTGCCAACCACTTATAATCCATGTTTCTATTACCATATTCCTTACAACAACTGTGTGTAGAAATAAATGTCTTAATTTGAAAAGTTGTATCATTTTCTTGAACTTTGAACTTACTGCCATAGAGCATCCACTCACATCCAGGCTTACATACAACCCTAAGTCTAACCTTATCATTTTTTTGGAACTTAATCTGCACCCTATCCTTAATAGCAACATTTTTTATAGCACTTTTGAGAACTTGCTTGGAAGAAAACAACATGCCAACACAAAAAATTGGATCATCAATATCACTGATGGAATTAAATTCAGGTCATACCTTTTCAGGTTTCTCAACTTCTTCCCCGTTATCATCTTCATGCATACTATATAAATCATCAGATAAATTTACTTCATCAAATTCTTCATCATCTCTAATATCAGCATTTAGAGTGTCTTCAACAGTGATTTCCCTACTATTAAAACCTATATTAGCCTCTCTACCATCTTCCTCAAAATTGGAATGGACACTTTGTTCAAAAAGTTTATCATCTTCAACATCATCTAGGTCATACCCAGAATCATAAAAACCACTTTCACTATCACTGTCTGTCTCGCTACTTGTTTCAGCATTTCGATACCCTTTAACTTGTTTCAAGAGTTGTTCATCAGATGGAGCACTATATGTGACCATAGTATGATCCAACATTGGCATTAGTTCATAACTAAGGTAGATTGTGACTTGCCTGTCAGGTGGTCGATTTCTACACATTTCTAAAACATCTTCATCACCGACTATTAATAAAAAAGGAGACTCTTCTACATTGGGGGTATAACGTTTCCAATAAAAACAAACTAGTCCGGTATGCTGAATTTCCTTTGCCATGGCCACCAACTCCATATATGACATCTTATCCATTTCACAGAAATCAAAATAATTAACTCTAAGACATCCATGCTCGAATTGGCCGTTAACAGTGGCAGGATGACCTCCACAGACCATTTCAATTGTGAAATAGTCAGAATTATCACCTGCAAGTGAAAAGTTGAGAATAAAAATGACTTCCAGCTTTTGTTCTATGAAAGCATAAAACATAATTAAAGTATTTCATTAATACATATAGCTTAAGATTTTAGATCAATTAACAAACCAAAAATCACAATGATTAAGTACAAGTAAATAACGAAGTAGTTCTTCGAAATAACAATTCTGCTGACAAGGATTAATTGTTAATGGAAGTATTTCATATTCTTTAAAATTTACAAAATAAGTTTAGCTAGGAGGAGGATACACCATAAATGTTTGAAAAAGGTTCATACAGATAAATTGGTTTCAAATTACAAGTAAATGTGGATATTATAGTTGCCTTTCAAGAGGAATGCATCAATCCAACATTTCGTGTACAATTTGCTTCACTTAGGATTTAGTTCTTCCTCATTTGTTTTACCTGTTTAGGATGAATACCTTCATATATTGAAAATAAGCATTGTAAATATAAAAAAAAATCATAAGTTGGTTTAGAACAAATATCAAACATTTGGTGTGCATGGAGGTTTCATCTCTACCATTTATGATGATGAAGTTATTGTATTCCATAGAATCAAATACAACACCATGTTTACAACCTCAACTTGGTCTTCACCTCTAACTCCTCTAAAAATATTATAATAGAGTATGGAGTCACTATAATATTAAGGGATCAAATCATATTTGATTACTTACCATATACCTTCTTCTCTTTAATTCCATCGGTTCTTAAACTCCAACTCATATTTGTACCTTAGTAATGAAAAGAGCCTTTTCACTTTCGCAGGGGAAGAAGAAATTAAAAGCCTTTTCACTTTCGCAGGGGAAGAAACTTGGGTTGATCGTTTTTCATGGTTGCCGCCAGCCCAAGAAACTCAAATGAAAGAATATGCTGTAATAGTAATTTTAAGGAAAGATGGGTCTTATAAAATTTAATAAACCTGGAAAGTTGACCACCGTTAAGGTTAACGGCCGAAAGTAATAAAAGGATTGGATTAAAATGTATTAAATAGATTAAGGACTAGAATGATAGATTTATTAGTTGAAGGACCAAAATGATATGGTGATGATAGTTTAAGGACCATTTATACATTTTACTCTATAGTTTATGTGTATTTTATTATTATCAAAACTTATCATACTAGACATATAATGGATTAATTTGGTTTAAATTGGTATATCACTTTAAGTTTGCTCTATTCCGACCTTGTCATAATTGCTCTCTTTTGATAATATAATTTATGTGTATTTTATTATCATCAAAACTTGATTTGATATGCCCTGAATAGTCTAATTGATGTTGGTCTACTTAAATATGTTAGTGAAGTCTTATGTATTTTAAGTGTGATCTAATTGGATTGAATTTTTAACTAAAATTTAATACACACAAAAGGTGCAGCTAGAGTCTGCGGAGCTTGGGGTCGGCGATTCATCGCTCGACGTTGTTTCTGGCCACGACAATTGGAGATCGCCGCTTTCACGAAGCGAGCGATTTCACGGCAATCACTAGGGGCTTTTTTAACAAAGGCTATCTCCTTGAAGGCTGCAGGGGCAATTGGCAGGGGTCTTCTCCCAAAGGGCTGATCTCTCGAAGGCTACAGGAGGACTCTTTCGGTGGACTCTTTCAATTCATTAGCTAACTGCTTTAACGAAGGAAGGGCAGTCAAAATGGTTGAATGGTTGATGTCAATGAGACGGAGGAGATACACGGGTTGGCAAACGCGTATGGTAGACTAGTGCTGGACTCGGGCCGGGCGGCCCGACCCGGGACCGAACCGGCCCGGTCACTGTTTGGCCCGGCCCGGCCCGTGGCCCGGTGGGTCCACCGGTTCGGTTTGGCCCGGCCCGGGTGCTGGGCGGTCCGGGCTCGAGCCCAGCTTGAGGTGGTTTGGGATGGTTTGGGGTTGAGGGGGAGGGGTAGGGGATTAAATAGGAGAACAAAAAAAAAAAAATTGGGCCGGTTTGGCCCGGCCCGGCCCGGTTGGCCCGGAATCGGAACCGGAACCGGCCACCGGCGGTTCGGGCTCGGGCCTCCCCTTTCTTGGCCCGAGGCCCGGCCGAGTCCAGCCCTATGGTAGACTGGAGATGGAGGAAGATGAAGTCCTACACGTGGTGGCTAAAGCTCCAGAGGTTGAGGACAGGGATGGATTTAGGGGGGGGGGGGCGACCGCCCCCCTTGGACATTCAATTTTTTTTTTACCATATATGTAATATTTTCATAAAACTTTCATAATTTAATTATATTCGCCCCCCTTAGCTTTTAATTTTCAAAATTAGTATATAGTCTTACATAATGTAATACTTAATTGGAGATTTAAAAGAAGAAACATCTAAAAAAATTTACATAATTTAAACAAATAAACAATAGAGTAACTCGTTATTTAAGATTTAGGATACTTATTATATCAGAATTCCTAGTTTTGTAATGTTTAATTATCTTTATTAGATAACAAGTACAGGATTTTGTAAAACATATATCAAACAATATTAAATACCAGACACACTAATTACACAATTTTTAGATCACATGAAATGAATCCAAAATATAAATATTTATAGACATTAGATTACATGGGGGTGTTTGGATCTGATTCTCAAAACTGATTCTGCTCCTTCAGGGAGCAAAAGCAGAAGCTGGAGTGTTTGGGTGAAATTCCAGAAGCACTTCTGGAGCTCTAATTTACTCTCAGAATCAGTTTTTTTAGAAGCTGGGGGGTACCAGCTTCTGAAAACTGATTCTGATTCTGCTTCTGCTTTTAAAAAAAAAGCAGAAGCAGAATCAGTTCCAAACACCCCCATAATTCATTTACTTCTTGCTTTCTAAAAATAATTTACTGCATGGATAATAAACTTTAAATTATTATAGAATTAATAAAAATATTAAAATATAATATGCACTATATGTGTGTGTGTGTGTGGTGCATATTATTGTAAAAATAACAATCTCATACATACTAGTATACTATTATTGTAATATTAAGAAAACTTCTCATGAGTCATGACTCACGACCACCCTCCTTGTTGGACAAAAATTACAATTCAATAACCGATTCATGAGGTTAAACAATGTAGAAATTATTAAAAATGTATTGGTTGATGTCTTTGTCATCGTCTAAACTTAGAATGTAATAGATTTAAATGCCGGTTAAGGATGCGTAAGTATTAATGTCATTTTTTGAATAAAAATAGCCGCATAGCCCTACAGTAGCAAAAAAATTTCGCCCCGCTACACTAGGGGAAAAAATTTCACCCCGCTACACTAACAAAAAAAAAACACCCCCTACACTAACGAAAAATTTCGCCCCCCTTGACTCAAAATCCTGGATCCGTCCCTGGTTGAGGAGGTAGAGTTGACTTTGGTTGGAACAATCACTTCTAAAAAGTCGATATGTTTCTCTTTTTTCCGTGACACTAGGGTCAATGTATGAAAACCTGTTAGAGGTGTTACTATTACTGAGATAGGTGCACGAAGGTATATATTTCAATTTTACAATAAAAATGATATGGCACGTGTTATGGAGGAAGGGTTTTGGACTTTCGATCACAATCTCATTGTGTTTGCTAGGTTAAAGCAAGGTGATTTGCCGTTGAAGGTACCACTGAATAAGGCTGACTTCTGGTTACGGGTTCATGATGTGCCAATGGGTTTCTTTTATGTGGAAAATGCTATAAAAATTGGGAATTTTGTAGGGCTAAGTTGCACGGAAACACGGAACGGGAAACGGGAAACGCGAGAAACGTAATTTCTAAAAAATATAGGATACGAAACGTGGGGGAAACACATAAATATTATAAAATATAAGGATATATTTATAAATAATTTTTAATATATGTACACAAGTTAGGGTGGTTAAACGTATTCATAGCTGGAATAATAAATTTCTTTCAAAAGCGGGTCAAGAGGTCCTTCTGAAATCTGTTATTCAAGCCATGCCTGCCTATGCTATGAATGTTTTTCTACTGCCCAATGATCTTTGTCAGGAGATAGAGGTTTTGATAAATGGTTTCTGGTGGAAAGGCAAGTCTGGGACGAGGATTCGGTGGAAGGACTGGGCTTCTTTGTGCAGACCCAAAAAATTCGGGGGGTTGGGGTTCAGAAGATTTCGGGACTTTAACTTAGCTATGCTAGCTAAAAAAGATTGGAGGCTATTTAATTGTCCCGAGTCTCTAGTTGGTAGAGTCTTTAAGTCTCGTTACTTCCCGAAGGGGAACTTTGGAGGAGTATATTCCAGTGCCAGGACCTGATTCGAGAAGGCTACAGATGCCGAGTTGGAGAATGGAGATGGAAAATCGATAAATATTTGGGAAGATCGAGAAGGCTACGTATGTACTCTATGTCTAACAAGTAACAAGGAACAATTACGAACTATCTACTCTAACAATTGCGGAGTATTACAAACGGATCCGTTTGAAAATACCAAATTGGTAATATCAAATCGGTTGCATGGCTGATTCTAGTGAAATTTGTGAGATTCTGGTTGAATGAAATTTATGAGATTCAAGTTGAAGTGAATGGATTGGCTGATTCTAATGATTTATGAAAAAAATATTTAAAATACTCTCTCTGTCCCTGAAACAAGTTCACCCTTTCCTTTTTGGGTAGTCCTTGAATTAAGTTCACATTTCCTTATTTGGCAAATTATATATATCAAAACAGTGTCAAACAGTGTCCAAACAGGAAAATTTACCCCCTAGTAAATTTCTTTTCTTAATATGTGTGAAAAGCAATGGTGAACTTCTTTTGGGGATGGAGGGAGTATGAGGGCGTTTGGAAGAGCAAAAAAGGCTGATCAGGCTTAAAATCCATGAAAATAGCCAAACACCTCTTCTATGGGCTGCTTTGGCTGATTCTGATTCTTGTTATCAGCCAAAAAAGTTGCTTCATGGTTACTTTTTGAGCTGTTTTCTATTTTTGTTTGATTAACATGTTAAAAGACAACTATAACCAGCCTTTTTTTCCCTAATCATAGAAGTCATGCTCTGCGGACTTCTCTGCTCCATATTGGTTGTGCCGTTCTGGCCTTCAGGGTATGAAAAAAAAAGTTCTCTAGGAAATATGAAATCCACCATAGTGCTTTTACCATTATATTGAGTTACGTGATTGGAGCTTCTGTGTTGATGTTTTGATATGTATTGTTGCTATTTAAAGTGTAGTATTTTAGTGTACAAAGATAATACCCTTTATGGTAATTATACATTCAATCAGTCAATTCAGCCAATATATTATCAAACACTTTCACTTCAGGATTTTAGTCTTTTCAGTCTTATCAGCCATTGCAGCCATTACCAAACAGACCCTATATTTTATTAACAAAGTAATGAAAAAGTTATATGGAAAAAACAGTTAAAGTGGTCCTTTACATTAACATCAATCAATATACCCAGAAAAGTAAATTGAGCCTTACTTTTTTATTATTATTACACAATTCGCAACGTGAAATCAAAAGTTATGTGTTTGATAAAAAGATGGTTAATAATCCCGATAAGCCAAAAAAAACAGAGTCACCAAATGGCTCACAGAGAGTACTATATAATGTACGAAGCATATACTCGTCGAGTCCGTGTACCATATAGCCGGTTGTACGATTTGCACTGTAAAGCCAGTGGCATTCAAGTAAGTTAAGTGAAATTCACGACTTCCTCTAAATGAGCACTAATACACGTTAATGAGCATTGGATCTATTCTACTGAGTCTTGAGAGTCTTATAATAAGTATATCGTGATATCAACTTCATATCTTATAATTCACTTTCTTTTTCTTATATTTTTAAAATATCTACAATGAACCTGTATGAATCTAATATGTGAATTTAATGTGATAAATATCATACTTTGAAATATGCATGAATATGACATTTTAAGTTGAGTATCACACCAATATCAAATGAGCATACATGA